AGAGGCGAATGTGCCAATACACAGTGGAGAATCTTTTTAATCACATTTTCTGTGCTTTTATATGATCCTTCTTGTATTTTTTATTTACTTATTTGCTCCTCTTTTATATTCATATTGTGACGCCTTTTCGGTTTTGTTTTGTAAGGGGGTGGGGGGATGTTATTATGCCATGTTTTCGTTGTTCAAACAAATAAAAAAAATCGGGTGATCTTCTGTCACATTTGTATGTTTAAGATTGATGGCCCCAATAACAATACTTGTGAAAAAAAAAAAACCGTGGAAGATGACCACTCACACACACAGCATATCAATACTCATCAGGCACAGGCCGAGGAGGTGAGTTTCCAGCCCATCTTTGACTCAACGCACTGATACCTATACCACACAAACAAATTACTAACACCCTAGAAATGGTATTCACACACTCATACCTTAATGCCTTTGAAACGCGCTCACTCTTCCTTTTCTCAATCCTATTAGCATCCGACCTGGAAACTGTGCAGCCAATCTTATTTGTTACAGTGCTATTTGGAGCTACGCCCTGCTAGGAATTCACTAATATGTCTACTATACTGCGTTGCTAATTTTCTATCGAACTTATAGATTACTAAAACAGATTATAATAGTAATTATCTACTGTAGGTGACTTTAATATTCAATGTTGACGGAATGATAAAAATAGCCTTACGCATGTTTTGCATCATTGATATCTGCCTAAGAAGTCTGATACAATATGTCAATTTCAGTTGAAAAGGTCTTACTATGATGAATTTTGCGTCGAGAGATTGAGTGTAAAATACACCAAGCCATCTTCCATCTTAGCGTTCAACGACCGAATTACAGTTCAAAAGGACCGTGTCGACTTCACAGAGTAATTTTGAGAAATCTTCGCAACAACCTTATAGTCGAACCGCATAATCCCTGCTTTATCCCGACCCATGGTTGTTGGTAACTTTTGAACTACCGTTACTAGACTTACAAAAGCATTAGTCAAAAGCTCCTGCAGCAGAAACCTATCTTAGTGCGATAGCCAAATAAATGAAAGAGTCCGCAGGCAATACTTAACGCGGAGGAGCAGTGGGGCGTTACAATAGTTAGAGTTAAGGAGACACAAGACGAATATTCGTATATTTTCTTCATGATATGTCATGTATGAATTACCACAACACGCCTACTCTGGTTTTAGCTGCTCAAAGGGATTGTACTTCTTTACGGCAAGGCTTCAGTCCATGTTTCAAGGTTTCCAAGGTTCTTTATTGTTCCACAATGTGATCATACATAGGATATGATAGTGCTACAGACAGTATGGCTGAACTGTCAGTAATAAAATTAGACGTCAACTGATTATTCGCTCGGCACACCCTTTCTCAAAAAGTAGAGCAAACATAAATTAAAAACAACATAGATTCAGATAGCTCCACAGATCAAATATATTCTACCGAAACATATTCAGCCAAATAATAGAGCAAAAAGAGTATAGTAACAAAGACAAAAAGAAAAATACTTGATAAGATCAAAAAAGTGAGAAAAAGACTTGGCGCACTAAACTTGTCTAATGACAGTCGTTTCTAAATATGAGGGCATTATGGATACTTAATCTCATGATAATATCAAGAATAACTTAAGTAAGAAAAGGTATGTCACACAGACGTATGGCATGCCTGCTTTTTTCTGGAGCGCAGTCCTACTTACCCTACACTCTTAAAATGGTAGATGTCACGATCGACAAATCAGACAAACTGAGAACTCTACCCGTAAGCATTGTTCTTCTCGAACCAACAACAAGCAGGCTTGACAAGAGAGCCACAGCCCGATATGGACCGGTACTGAAAATAGACCAGAGTATAACAGCAACGGAGCGGGCGAGAGCCAAGTGATTTCTAGTTCTTGAATGAAAAAATTGTCCTCACTCTTGAGCGGCTAAGTAGAAAACATAGACAATTAAAACACAGAAATCCCATAGTACTCATCCTAATTCGATCCTACTATTAGTAATATTTATCTAGTTTGAGTTATTGTATATAGATACTCCTAAGCCCGCTTACACTCTGCCGACTTAACTCTTATCTTTCTAAATTCCTAGATGGTAAACTAGAATGCCTTTTTCAGCCATAAACCTTGAACAATTAAATTCAATGATTCTTTCTTCTAAAACTCAACTGTCTAGACCGATTCCACTAAGGCTTTATCCATTAATAGCACTTTAAATTATGATAATGTCTCCAGTTACCCATCATTTGTTTTGGCAGTAAAACTCTCACAAGCCACCCGACGTTTTACTGACCTATTTTAATCACCAATTATTCTACATCAATATGAGAAGCGTCGCCGTTGTGGTGTACAAACATGATTTATATTGAAGATTTCCCCCCAAAAAGTTCATGGCTTTAAAACACATCATAGACAAACAGCTCTGGTTAAAGTCAAAAATGAATTCTATAGCCTCCTGACAAGGACTTGTCTATTCCTTGTTTTTGCTCGATCTCAGTGCACACTTTGAACTATACCAATGATATCCTAATTGCAAGAACTAGAGCCACCTAGTTGGCCATACAGGGAACTGCTTTAGCTGTTTTGATCTACTAATCTGAACGCCTCCGTTTGTACGTATCAACGTGAATCTTCCATGCAACGTTTGCCATGGAGTGCCACAGGGCCTCAGTCCTTGGACCTATTTTGTCACCATATATGCTCCGCTAAGGCAATATTATGAGGAGATCATTCCTGTAAATTTTCCACTGTTATGCAGATGATACTCAACTATATGTTATCGCATCAGCCTGATGAAACCAATCATGCACCTAAATAAAATTCCAAGACTGCCTCAAGGACTTAAAAACGGGATGGAATCCTGTAATTTTTGATGTAACACGACACCAACAACTGAAGTTATTGTATCGCCAATATATTCTACCGAAACAAACATCTAAAGATATACTAGTTAATGGATGGCATTAATTTGGCCTCCGTGAGACTGTAAGGAATCTTTCGTTATATTTGATCAGGATTTATCTCTTAACACACACACAAAATAACACACAACACAAGCCTACTTCTCATCTACCGCAACATGCCAAAATTAGGCATATCTTGCCCTCCAAAACGATCCGAGAAACTAGTCCATGCATTTGTACTTCTAGGACTGGATTATTGTAACTCGTTATTATCAGGGTGACCAAGAATCAGCAAGTCGCTTCAGCGATTCAACAATGCTGCAGCTCGGTATTAACCAGAGTTAAGAAAAGGGACGCACATTACTCCTGTTCTGGCTGCCTTACACAGCTAACACTGGCTCCCTATAGAACACAGGGATAGAAGTTAAAATTATTCCTTCTTGCCTATTTCTAATTCCCTTAATGGTGGCAGTGTTCGCTTCATCTTTTGTTTATCTCTTTTATATTTATGTTAATTCATTTATATTTCTTTCTAATCTGTCTCTTATTTTGGTGCATTTTTTTTGCTGTTCTCATGATGATGTCTATGGGTTGTTTGTTTTTTTTTCCTAGACCGTCTCTAACAGAGTACAGTTTAATTGGGAATGCTCTAGTATGCTCTTCTTATTTCTATATTTGTCTCTCTATCATTTGTGTGTTATATGTCTCTCTAGTTGGTTCGGGCGGCAGACAGCCTATCCGTTTTTAATGATTATCTGTCTTATATCTTCTTTTCCTTTTTGATAAAGCTTATAGTGATAAAATTTAATCCTAATAAGAGTGCATTTCGACTTTATGATACTTGTGTCCTCTTCACCTGACATATTATTCACTCCAGATAGACTCACATGTGTGTGCGTCCAAGTCAAAAACCTCTATTCTGATGCTCAGTGGCTGGGGGTGTTGCCAAGATTGCTAGAGGCGTTGGCCCAAGTTCTCCATTTTGTTTTCTAATACTTGGATTTAATCATGAGTATGGCGCTTCATTCACAAATACTGTTTTGTTCTCATATATTGTATATTCCTGAGTACAGCTAGACCGTAATCTGCCGTGCAACACTCAGCAGTGTCACACTACTGTATGCAGAACGTATTGTTTGCTGAATATTGAAGTTGACGAAACACTCGAGGTTTCAATGTATTAAAGTCATGATCCAACTCATTGTCTATATACTGTTTAGATCATAGACCTGTTAAAGTACGCATTCAAACACTTTCTCTTTATGCAGCTGTATACACCTTGTAATGCAACTGTTGTGGTCTTTTATCACAGTAGTGAGAGTGAACAGTAAGTCATAGATGTAATTAAAATTTAACTCATCATATGTATCTAAATCATCTATAGTATTATATATCCAATCAGAAACTATAAAATCACGATGACGGCTGTCAGTACTTTCATATCATATATCTAATGTATGTGATTATCTAAGCTCCAATACCACCCACATACCCATTATAGCAGAGCCCACATTGCATAGATAGAACACATTTATGCGCATCAATAAGATTACAACAGAGTATTTCTAAATACAAGTTGTAACAATACTTATATGTATGAATCCATTAACCCTTGAGTTCACAGGTTCACCGCGTGATCAGACACATGACCTGTTCAAGACGTGCCGCAGTAAAAACAACAGTCAGGACAACATTGCCGTGTGTTTCTGTCGAAACTACTGGCTTGAAACGATATGCCAGTCTTTGTTTCATGCAAAAAGACCCCAGTAAATCACGGAGATTACTATGATATAAAGTTAATACCATTTCAAAAGTATGACGCGTTAAAGTCCCGGCCCTAATTTTAATATCTTCACCGTATTTTATCATTTTACGAAACGGAAAATACTGGAAACTGCTCAACAGGATGTATTTACCAGGGAAGGGGTGAGGTAATCAGGTAAACGGAGTGATACGAAGCGAGACGAAAAGAGACGAAGAGGGACGGCGGGAACCGAAGAGAGACTGCAGGAAATGGAGAGAGACGAAGATATACATATTATTGTACATAATGTGTATATATAATAACATAATGATTAATTTCAGATGATAATACTTTTCAGGGTTAGGTCCGGTCTGACAGCGCTTAGCTCTCTGCTGCAGAGAAGATCACTGCTCTAAACAAAGTCAAAAATCCTACATCCAAACGGAATAAATATAATAAATTATTATTAATACGTTAAGTCTTGTTCATTCTTTTTTACTTTTATTAAATGTTTGATATTTCCGGTGGAAATGGTGGACTATCGGACAGCACACATTCACATATTGTCACTCACACATTCATGCATTTTGTTCTCATATTCATATATTTTAATGCTCATATTTATACATTTTGCTCTCATGCAGATTCATTCAATGTTTACATTTAATATTAAACATAATATATGCATGTCTGGAGACAATATATGTATGCAAGAGAAGAATGGCTTATTATATTTACAGCTCTTAATAACATTCATTTTCTGGACTCAATGTGTGTCTTGGCCGGGGGGGAGAGCTGTGGAATGCGACCATCCCCCTTGGGGGAATTCCTCCACACATTCCGATGGCCAATTCGTTTTAAACAAAGAGTACACATCAACATGGGGGGTGGGGGGCTGGTGAACGGTCTGGTCATTTGTTTGTTCCACAATGTTTATCATCATGAAATGAATATCTATATATTGTATACTATACTTGCACTGCTTCCCGTTTTCATACTTTATATATCTCAGCATATTCATACACACTGTTCATACTGCTCACAGGCTGCTGCTGCGTGCTAGTGTATTCATACCCCTCACTGTTTATTCATCATTCAATTCATCTTTTATTCTGTAGATTGTGTACATTACTTTTCACTTTACTGCTTGTTGCACTCCTGGTTAGAAGCTAAACTGCATTTCGTTGTCTCGGTACCTGTAATATGTGCAATAACAATAAAGTTGAATCTAATCTTGAGCAGGAACAAATGTATTTACTTATTACATATCTGACATTAACGATTAAACACATTTGTGCATTCTTTATAAATGCAAGCCGACTCCGGAGGTGGCGGTATGCACCTTAAAGTTGTTTGCAATCCACCAAAAAACGGAGATAAGAAGAAGAAGCCGACTTCAGATGAGGTTTTTGAGACCTCCCCCGGCTGCGATCGGCTATTCTCGTCTACTTTCGAGGCGAGCCGCAGCTCATCTCAAACAAGCCTAATGTATTCTGAAAACAAATGCCCACACACACAAACAAACAGACTCCCTGGCGACCGAACATCCTATTCATTCATAAAACAAATAAAATGGCGTAATAATCGGGCAGTTTGATGTGTCTAACCATAACAAAGTATCTTGTGCGAACGAGAAAGTATATCGTGGGCATGAGATACCTTTTCTTCTTCTTCCATGAACCTTTAGGCTTAGGGGCTCCATAAAAAAGACATGGCATTGCACAATAAAAATTCAAGACAAGAAATAAACAAGACAGTAGAAAATATACATGTTGAATTTACCAAGGTGTTATACATATGTATGTATGTATGTATGTATGCAGACATACACATACAGACAGACAGATAGAATATTGAACAGATTATATAAATGTACAATGTGGCTTTATTCCAAGAGAAAGCAGTGAGTTCTCTGCCAGCCAGATAATTAATAAATCCTATTAAAACCTGTGTGGCTTATAAGTCGAATTAGTTCAAGCAGCATAACGTTTCACCATGTAACTAAATATTGTCAGGGAAATTAGTTGACATATTGAACTAATTAAGAAATATAACTATTATAATTAGTGTAGCAGCTGACCCCTATTTTCATTATGGATTAATTTACCATTTATTTCTTCATTTCAATTTTGATCTATAAAAATGTTAAAATAGTGAAAATGTATACGAGACTTATCAAAGTGCAAGGTTATATCTTTAGATGTTTTGTTTTTAGCCTATGTACTGTATGTCTTAAACTGTTAATGGTTGGAGCATTTCAATAATTTATATAGTTTGCAACTGTCAGATATGTGTGCTCTTATATGTGACGGTGTAACTTCCATGAAACTAATATTTGATATCTCGAACATTTTTCTCCTAACAGACGAGCTGACAGGAAGCCCGGTGCCCATTCCCGAATCTGCAGCTGTCATTTTCCTAAAGGAAAGGGAAAAATGCCTGTTTTATTTGTAGCCCAGAATGTTGTCAAACTAAATAGAGAAGATCATTCCTACTGTCTGAGAGGGAATGACACTCAAATTCATGGAATAAAGGAAGAAGCTACGTGTCTAATGACTGAGGAGGAAGCAGATCCATGTACTAATGAGTATCTTCGACCACTATCTGAGGAGGATGATGATTATGAGGAGCAAACCACCAGTGAAACGGTAGAAGAAAAACTTCAATCTGAGCAAAGACACAGAATGCAGCTAGAGATCCAGCTAGAGGAGTCCAAGGCAGAGTTGAAGTCCCTCAAAGATAAGGAGAGTTACTGCCGTGACATGTATTCTGCCTCTCAGCTGAGTGAAAAGGTTCTTCGGATGGAGACAGGATTGCCAGATAGAGACACGTTCAGATCTGTGTGTGAGTATGTTGCTCGTTTTGAGGGTTCCATTACATACCCAGAAGGTTGGAGCCCCAAAACACTGAGTCTTGAAGACCAAGTTTTCATTACCCTCATGAAACTGCGTCATAGTTACACACACCTTCATCTGGCTGCACTCTTTCACTGCAGTATAACCACTGTCAGAAATGTGATCGGTACATTTATAGACATTCTCCACAAATTACTTTTTAAGGAGACAATGATAACTGTTCCCAGCCGCGAGAAAAATAAAACCAGCTTGCCTTCTTCATTGCGGCTCATCCGCAGAATGATATTGGATTGTACGGACATCACAATTGCTATGCCCAAGCAAATGGATATCGAGAATGAGTTTTCTGGTGTGTAATAATTGTAATACAGATTTCATGTGACACATCAAATTGATTAGTTGATTGAATTAATGTCACTAATGTGAATAAATGAACTCTAGGTTAACGGTACTCTTCCCTTTCTTGCTATCACTACTCACCGACACTCTATAGACCTTGTCCCTCATGCTAGCGCTGACAAAACGGTAAGTACACCTTCATCTAGGCTGCACTGCTGTACGTGTCCTGACTTGTAGTGGTTCTCTCCTCTATCTACACTCTGTTTGTCATCTTTGTAAAACGATATCAGACTGGTAATTGAAAGTCCTGACTTCCAGTTAAATTCAGTGTGGCTAAAAGGAAATGCTTTTTTTAAATATGCAAGCGCGCAAAATTCAAATACAAGGTGAAAACGTGACGTTTAAGTCGTGCGACCCTGCTGTAGTCAGCTGTTGTTCAGTTATAGCATAACGTTAGCAATTTGCTTCTGGCGATTAGATTTATAATTTGTAAATCCCGTTGCTTTTTGTCGAGGGAACACTTGCAGTTTACTTCGGGTCGGCCTACAAAAATGTCATCACTGCACCACTCTATTCATGATGTTGCCATATCGGTCCCTAGTAAACGTCAGTTCATATCTTCTTATGGATGTCTATTTCCCCCCCAAAAATGTACTGTACCAAAAACAAATTATCTTTTCATTAGGCTACATCACCTTTGAAATATATTAAAATACCCATTTTTCCTTTTATTTATTTTGCATTTTAAGTCTTTCCAATGTCTTTTTTGCAGTATATTCTATGTATGTTTAAAAGACTCTTCTTTTATTTTATAATTAAGACATTTGTTTCCAACATGCCAAATTCAATGTGTTCCCACTTGGCCTAACTCAAACCTAAAGTAGTTTATTTATGTACATAATGTGAGACTTTAGCAGTATGTACCCTTACTTTACAGGAGAGGCTATAAAACAGTTGAAATATTGCTCTGTAAATGTATATTGTATTGGAATGTTTCGTTAGAGGTGATGGACCACAAAGATGGTCGCCTCAGCTAGTGTCCCTGAGTACCTGCTGGTAGATGCAACACATACGCATACTGAGTGTCGCTATAACTGAAAGAGTTTCTAAATACATTAAAAAAAACTTTTTTTTCTAAAATTGTCCTCAGAATCAACAATTGTGAAGGCATTTTTTTAATGGAAGAATATAAATTCATTTCAGACAACAATGATGTTTAAAAACATTTAATTGATACTATAAAACTCTTAAGTAAAAAATAATGTCACTTATATATACTACAATGCTTTGGGAATGGATGAATTCTGGTCAGCTTGCAAGTGAAGAGTCACCGAACACGTTCCCATATGAGGTTTTGAGAAAATGTACATAGTTCTGCAGACTGCGGTTAGTAGAGTCGGACTGCTCCAGTCTGTCCTTAATGTTCTGCAGCTGACTCTGGAAACGACGCTCCATCTGAAAGAAAATAGAAACACATGAGAATTAACGGTTTGTATGTCCAACATGAAATTCCAAAGACATTGAGACATACCTCCTCCTTGCTCCGCTGCAGCTGACTCTGCTCTGTTTTGGCTCGGCTCAGCTGGCTCTGCAGGTCCAAAGCTTTAGACTGAGACGCTCTCTCTTTGACCAGAACCTTCTGCATGCTGGCGTCCACCTTCAAGGAGGAGAACGTGTTCAGTGTACCCCTTGTAATTTATTAAGGACATCCAGTATATTCTAAAAAACAAAATGTTTGTGTCTACCAAATGCAGTCTTTTTTTTTTATATGTGTCAAGTGTTTAGAAACTTGAGGAAGGGTCCTCTGGATTGAACATTGCATGTCATTTATTTTAATACAACATCAGCTCAGATAGAATAGAATTAGATCAAAATATTTCAATCAAACCACACAAACATGGAGGGTCTTTTGTGGTGTAACTTAAACCTTGGTCCCTGTACATTTCACAGCCTCCCCAATTGGTCTTTGTCAAAGTTTTACTAAGGCCACATTCACTTAATAGTCCCAAACTAGTAATTCCAGCCTTGAAATGCATATATAAACATTGTTATATTATTTTATCCCTCATTGTACACTAACTTCTTATCTTTATATAAATATTTATTTTATCTATTTTGGACATTCTTTTGTTTATATAAATATTTGTATTTCTTTTACTTTAATATATAGGTTTATTTTATCTTTTTTATGAACATTTTTACTTTAACTTCTTGCATTTAAATACATTTTTTTGTATTATCTTTTATTCTATAATGGAGAAACTGCTACAAAACCCAATTTCCACTGTAATAAATAACGTTTTCTGATTCTGAAAAAGCGGGATAGGCAACAGTCAGGACTGTAACAAGTGTAGGGACGGTGTAAAAAGGGTCTGTCTGTCTCAGACCTGTCTCTGTGCGTCGTCCAGAGTTGTCTGCAGCTGTCGGGACAGGAAGCTGACCTCGTGGCTCTTCTCCTCCAGCTGCTTCTGAACGCTGCGAAGACTGGCCTCCTTTGATGGCAGAGCCTCAGACATCTCTTGGTTTTCTACCGTCAAGTCCTCCAGCCTCCTGCAACAAATAACACAATGCTGCAGCTACAGCTGCAGTTTGGAAAATTGTTCCCCTATAAAGACCCTCTGTACTCCGTGTTCCTACAGTGGTGACCCTGTCTGCTAACTGTGCAATTTCTTACCTAAGTTAAAGGTCACATATTATGCAAAATCCACTTTTCCATGTCTTGTATACACACATACATACATACATACATGTCCCCTCAGAGATTCTGAAAGATTCAGGAAAAAATATTTGCTCACTTTTTGTCCTGATCCATTTATATAAAAACCTGTCTGAAAATGAGCTGATCAGATTTTGGGCATTTTATGATGTCATAATGATGTTTTGGCTTGTGTAACCATTAGCCAATAACCAACCAAGGTAACATCCGACAACCTTATCCCTTGAATCTCCTCCTAGAGCACCATTGCGTTCTTTGTAACCAAATATCTCTCAGAGGGGCGTCGGGAGTGGCTCCTTATTTTCATCTAAAGTAAAAGACAGAGAATCAGCACTTTGGAAACAGGGCTGGCACAGAGGGGATTATGGGACGCTACAATGCACGATTTGTTTGGTATTTCGAGTCAAACCTTTCAGAGACATTTTGTATATAACTGAAAACTATAATATATTGAGGCAAAAGAGTATAAATAGTAGTAGTAGTAGTAGTAGTAGTATAACCTTTATTTAGCCAGGAAAATCAATTAAGAACAAATTCTTATTTTCAATGATGACCTGACAGGAGGCAAAAGGAGGGAGAAAATAAAAAGACAGACTCCGAGCACTACAGAACCCAGGAGACAACACAATGACACAGAGCAGAGATAGCAGTTAAACATATAACATATCTAAAATAATACTGCTGGAGTTCAATCAGTCATTAAAATAATATAGAACATTCATCCATTCAATCATTCCTTCATGGTAATGCATACTATAGGAGAGGTCAAGACATAAGGCACTTTCACACCGGAGTACTTTTCCCAGGAATAGTTCCGCTGGTTCCTGGGATTTTGCGTTCACACCAAAAAGATCTGGAACTAGAACCTAGTTCTCGGGAACCTTCTCACCCCTTTTCAGTCCCTGCTAGAGAGGTGGTACTTTCCTGGGGAGGAAAAGGTTTCAATTTCTGATTGGCTGGGCAAATTGCTCTGAAAGGTTTTGTGAAGCCTCCATTTTATTTGCTTGCATTAGCATTATTAGCATTAGCCCAGCGCAGCAACGGAGAGAAACTAACTTATGGCAACACAAAATAAAACATGGGAACGGTGGAGCGATGAGGAGGTGTCGGCGCTTCTGGCGATTTACCCGGGGACTTCGGGTGGCAGTATACGCCGTTAAGTTGTTTGCGGCCTGCCAGTAAACTCAAATCAGAAGAAGAAGAAGCGACGTCAGCGGCTTCATTTGTTTAATCCTCCCTCAGGCAGTGTGAACGCGATCTACTAGATCAGGGGTCGGCAACCTTTTTGATATGAAGTGCCATTTAAAAAAAAAAAATGTTATCAGCGTGCCAACAATCGAGAATTATCAACGNGCATTTGTACAGCTCCTTATGGGTACTGCAATTAGTGAAGTGCTTTCTTCTGTGGTGAAACGATCAGCACTGCACCACGGAGGAAAGCGGCAGAAAGTCACCTGGAGATAAAGAGAGCGGGGCTGCGTTGCGTGCATGGCTTCCTTCTGCAGGTAACGGGGAGACGCGCTCTGGCGGCGGTCTCGTTCAGGATCCGAAAATACAATTTAAATATTTTGCACAATTATTCCACTTATTCCTAGTGTGCCACTGGTTACGGTGCCGCGTGCCAATGCTGGCGCGCGTGCCAGGGGTTGCCGACCCCTGTACTAGATAGTTCAGGAATTAAAGAGTTCCGGGGAATTAAGTTACGGGAACTATTCCTGGGAAAAGTACTTGGTGTGAAAGCGCCTATTGGTAGTGAGCAAAAGGCGAAGCAGCTGCATGTGTTTGTAATAGTGTCCCTGAAGGAGCGGGGGGAGATAAAGGTCTCCATCTTCAAGGTTTTTTGTATGATATTCCAGCTATCAGCTGCTGCAAACTGAAAGGCGGAGAATAGGGGAGCTTTAAAGCAAATGAATCCATTGTCACGGATTAGGTGTGATGCTACACTGAGGTAGTGATGTTTACATACTGATGTCCAGATGTTTTTTTATCTGTATATATTCATTTGGTAAAGGTCATTCTATAAATGTCCGTACCTCTCAAAGTTGTGAGTTTTTTCTTTGAGGACATTGTTTTCCTCCTGCAGAAGCAGGTTCCTCTGCTGCAACATCTCCAGTTGAGCGCCTTGCTGTTCCACCTGTGAAGAAACACAATTAATGATCAGTTCTGATGATACTAACCCCCTCCATGAAGTGCCAATCTCTGAAAATACAACAGCACTGCTACAGTTCGATTCCAGCCACGAACCTGCACCTCTGTTGCAGGCCTCTCGTTTCATTTCCTGTTCCCAGAGTCTATACTATCAGCTTTAAAATAAAGGTGAAATACCCCAAATCATGGAAAAAATATAAATACACATCCATGCATACATACTACATGAAACTTCCAGGAAATAAACGTTTTTTTGCAAAGAATGACTGTGGAGAAGTAAGTAAATCTTTTTAATTACAGTTTGTACTAAGAATAATATGCAGTTCAAGCATGACCTTTAAACGAGTGATTCTCTTACATGTATATTACCTGTAGCCAGAATTGTACGACTGTGTTAATATTTACAAGAATGCCAATTGGGAACAGAAGACTTGTTTGCAAAAAACTCAGGAAACTTAGGGGTTAAATAATTGTGTCAGCCGACATCACTTGCAGTTAAAGGGGCCCTATTGTGCTTTTTGGGTTTTCCCTTCCCTGTAGTGTGTTATATAGGATTTTGTGCATTTAAATGGTCTGCAAAGGCAGTTTGAAACACCTCCATTGAACTTCTTTGTTTACTTCCGTTACATAGTGACATCACTATGTAACACTTGCCTTTCTATTTGCTCCAAAATATTTTTCTCTGCTGAAGAAATGCTTTAGGGCACGTTTACACGAAGAAATTAACATCTGCATTCTATTCATTTCGCTCTGTGCAATTGGATGGCAAAACAAAAACAAAATTCATATCAGGCAAATATCGCCTCGGCTGTGACACTAAAACAAAAGAACTCGTATTAAGTAGCTCTATAACTTGGGCCCCTGTTTAGATCACTTGGTAGAGCTATTGGCTATTCGGTTTCTCAGAACATATTATCACAAATAAAAAGATAGAAGATTAATAACATGACTCTAATATAGCAATACTTGGAAAAGGTCTATGATTTTTATTGAATGGGAAATAATTATTTAAGAATACATTTTCAAAGTTACCCTCCCATCCCATGCTATCAGAATCAGAATACTTTATTTATCCCGGGAATATTGGGTTTCTTGACAGTGTCTTGATTTTATAATGACATCAAATCAAATAAAGAATGTAAAAAGAAAATGTGCAATTTATCACATTATACTACAATATATTACATGTACAATATATACAGTGTTGTATGAGTATGAATAAGATATTAGTGCTGAATTGAACAGTTTAAAAGGGTTCGGCTGCTGGTAGGGAAGGATATTTAAGTATATACCAGTTAGAGCCAGTTAGTATAATGATGTATATAAAGGGATCTGGAGTACCTTGTATCTGACTTCAGAGAGGGCGGAGTTGTGCTCCACGTTCCTCCGCTGTTGGTCCTCTGCCTCCTGCTGGGCGTCTCTGAGCTGCTGCTCCGCCCTGCGCAGTCTGTCGGGCAGCGCCTCCAGCTCTCTGAGCCGGCCCAGCAGCCCCCTCCTCACCTGCTCCGTCCCCCTCTCCAGGCTCAGCTTCACCTCCCGCGCCTCCCTCTGGGTTGTCTCCAGCTTCAGGAGGCTCTCCTCCGACTCCAGACGCACCTGCTGGACCTGCATGGAGGAGAAGGACGTCACTTCATCACAGTGCAGTTTAAAAGCACTCAGCTTTCAACCCTTAGCAACCTTTCCAAGTTAGCACTACTGAGTCTCGTGCTCTGCCATGATATTTTAATAGACTACACGACAGGGGAAGATCAATCAACCTAGTTATGATTTGTGTAGTGTGTGTGAACTGTATGTTGTCTAATCTTCAATACTTTTATTGTCTATATAGCTTATTTTATAATCCCTAAACTATGTGGTTAACTTTTCTTTTACTTTATTGGGACATTTTTGTTTTGAAAAACATACTTTTTTTAAGGTTAAAACCCCCTTTTACATATTGTTTTGATTATATATAATTCTATGCTTGCTAAATGTTTAAACATTTAACAGTTTCTTGTAATATAATATAACCCAAATTAAAAGGCCTATTGAACAGATTGAATGTTTTGGTATTTTTTTATGTATTTAAAGCATTTTTTAAATTTTTAATTTCTTTAGTTTTGATTATTATACATATTTCTACTTATTTCGAATATTTTAGTGTTTCTCACTCAATGTTTTGTATATCTTACTTTAATTAGATATATTGCTCTCCTGTATTGTGCATTTTGAATTGTTTGGCGGATTACATTTGTGTGAGAAACAAAACATAATAATTAATATCCAATCGTTTTCTTAAACTTATTCTGAGGTATTTTGTTGTTCCCTTTGCATCCAAGGACTTATAAAAACCTTAAAGTGAATCTGTGCATGGTGCAGATATTTGGTTAGCTGATTGGAATCTCTCTGGAGCTCGTCACTCAGAACTTGACTTTACCTTCTTCTTGTATTTCTCCACCAGTTGTTCCTGCTTTTTAATTGACGACTTCATCCGACGGGCTTCAGACTGCAGCGCTCCGAGCTTCTCCTCAGCGTATGTTAAGTGACCCTAAACACGGCACAGAAATAAGGAAACCGTAAAAAGCTTTCCAAAACTTTGAAAACCATAATAGCTTTAAAGAGCAACTTGCAGGTTAGAGACACCAGTGAATAAATGTGTAGGAAAATGATGAATACACTAGATTTTCCCAAAAATATACAGAAATATACACTACACTGACATCTGGCGTCGTTTTAGTAAGACATTTTCACTTCCGCATAAAAAAGCCTCCGCACGTGACCTCCCGCGTGTGACGTAACATGGGGGAAACAAGGGGGAGAGCGGCCGGTCTAACGTATGAATAAACATGGACACAATGCTAGTTTTGACACAGAAGAGGTTGAAAATATATATTCGAATGCATATGATTATAATTATGAGCCTGCTAGGCGTCCAAGAGACCAGGAGCAGCCGAGGATTAGAAAAAATAACGGCCATCGGAGAGAAATGGAGCTTTGGTGTGTGGAGAACCAGTGGAGAACAGAGCAGCTGTCTTGGTGAGTGACCGGCGTTAGCATGTTAGCTAACGTCAGTCACATCACAACATTGTAAAGTTAGCAATCATATATCAGGCTATAACTAAAGTAGTATTGATGTTGTGATGTGACTGACGTTAGCTAACATGCTAACGCCGGTCACTCACCANTGGGTTGATTGTGCGTTGATCTGTTGGTAATGCCTCGGGGTTCCGGTGGGCATGTAAACAAATGCATAATGCTGCGATATACTTTGTGGCCTCACCCAGTTGCATAGCGACACTTATTGTTTAGGTGTCTTTTAATAAGCGGGTAGTCATATCATTAGCTAGAACTAGCTGGATCTGAACGACTAATCTGACGGGAGAGAGAGATCAGCTGCTGCTGACGAGTCGACACGCAGCTCTGCATGATCACATGCAGCGGTGAGCGGACAAAACACACACTTCAGGTTAGAATATCACACGTAGCTATTTTAATTACCTCTCAAACTACCTAAACTAGTTATAGATGTTTAGTTTTACTGTCGGGTCCCTCATTACTGGATCCGCGAGCTGCATGATAGGCTACTGGTATAATAGATTGCCCGATCGGGCAACCAGCAGGCTTCATTGCCTGAGCTAAATACTAGATGGCCCTGGGCCATCGGGCAGTCCTTAAAGAGCAACTTACTACATTTATGCTTAACCTTGCCTGAAAATTACAATAAAAAAATGTTAATGCAGGATTTGATATGTTTTACAAGACTTAAGGGCAGGAATTCAGAGGAAAAGGAGCCGTTTTGAGCTCTGCTACTAAAAACTGCTTTTTTTTAACGTCATACGTCAAACGCGTCATATTACGTCACATGGGGGAGCAACTTTCTCGGACTTGTTCTCTGCCCAATCCGCGGTAGTAGTTTGTAGTTGGTTTGAGCGGTTGTGATTTAGTGAGCTGGTATTTTTTCTGTAATTTTACATTGCATTNCGTTGTAAATGGCTTGATGGAAAGCAGGTGTGTAGTCGGGGAGGGTGCACAGCTGATTGCAGCAGGTGAGTGGAGGTTGAGCCGGGAGCCAGGAGTGACAGCCACCACGCCCACACAAACAGGGGGAAACAAACAAACACAAAGGAGACGGCTGGAGCAGTACAGCCACCCCAGCGTTACCTAATGCAACTCCACACACTACGTCTTACGGTGCCGTATACCGGAGGGGAGAGAGAGCAGCGAAGGGGGGAGAGAGAGAGCAGCGAAGGGGGGGGGGAGAGAGAAGTAATACGGTTTCCTGATAAAGCTGTGGAGAGTATGTGCTGCAGGGAGGTGGATGCACAACGCACCCAGGAACGAACGCTAGCTCCGGTCCTTTTCCCGTGAGGGAAACTGTGGACTCGATTCCCTGACAGGCTTGAGTTTGTGCAACCTGCACAAACACAAGCTAACCATGATTACAAATGGTGAAATGCAATGTAAAATTACCGAAAAAATACCAGCTCACTAAATCACAACCGCTCAAACCAACTACAAACTACTACCGCGGATTGGGCAGAGAACGAGTCCGAGAAAGTTAACTCCCCCATGTGACGTAATATGACGCGTTTGACGTATGACGTTAAAAAAAAGCAGTTTTTAGTAGCAGAGGTCAAAACGGCTCCTTTTCCTCTGAATTCCTGCCCTTAATTCTTAACATATCAAATCCTGCATTAACATTTTTAATTGTAATTTTCAGGCAAGGTTAAGCATAAATGTAGTAAAAAAAAAGCTGCAAGTTGCTCTTTAAAAAGGTCCCCTATTATGCAAAATGCACTTTTTGACATAATATGGCGTTTAATCACGGCAGCATTTAGCTGAGTATATGGGTAGAATTCTCCTGTATGAGCTCTCCTCTCTTTTTTTTTCTAAAGCTACGGACCCAGAATCAGCACTTTAGTAACAGGGCTGAAATCGAGGCGTATGAGGCATGGCTAGAATGGGTGATCTGTTTGGTATTTTGAGCAAAACACTTCATAGACATGTTTTTATATATCTGAGACCTATAATATATGCCTAAAAATAGTATAGTAGGAGACCTTTAAATAAAACAGTAAAAGGCTCCATTGATAGGACATTGACCTAGAAACATGTTATTATTCCTAATAGAATAATGCGATGAATACTGGGCTTTTAATGATGAATGCTTGAACACCGCCTTATGTGATTTGAAGTTGTGAGAGACTCAAATCCTCTGGGGAGATTTCTAAAAGGTACCTTGAGTCTTTGGTTGTCCACATTGATGGAGGTGTTTTCAGCACTGAGATGATGAAGCTGCTCCCTGAACTCCTCCTCCTCCGCCCGACTCCCCACCTCCACCGCGAGACGGTGAGAGCTCAGCTCCGTCACTTGACTGGGAGGGAAACAGGCCTGTAAACCTTGTTCTAAAGTTATGTGTCTCCTTCAAAGAAGTCTGATTTGGTACATCATATATTTCTAAATGGTCTTTCACGCTTTCAGGTTGCAGAAAGACCTCTATGAAAGTCAGCTTTAAAAAAAAAAAAAAAAGGTGATTTGATATTTAATTATATACTTATATACTGTAATTTTCGGACTATAAGCCGCACCTGAATATAAGCCGCAGCAGCGGCATACCACTCTCGGTTCCACTTTTACTTTTGCGCGCTACCTGTCTCACTCTTTTCCGGCCTCCAGCTTTTCCAGCTGGAACCCGCCACTTAAAGGTGGGGGTCCGCGGACCGGCCAAAGAGCCCATAGAGTTAAAGGTGTTGGCCGTTAGCTGTAAAAATCCATAGATTAGCCGCACCGTTATATAAGCCGCAGCGTCGAAAAATAGGGAAAAAGGCGCGGCTTATAGTCCGAAAATTACGGTACTCACAATCATATTTGCATATATTTATAATAATATAGTTTTTATAATTTATAATATATATATTATATTTTTTTTTTTTTCACATCGCATAATTTTGATTTTTTATCATGGGGATTATTTTCTTCTTCTTTGTGTGTTCCAGCAAGAATTAATTAATCCATTAAACCAGTTCTATTTTGTGAATAGACTGTAACTGTGTCTTGAAGTGCTGACCTAAATTCTGTCTTCACTTTAAAGTCACAAATCTAAGTTCTATCATGAGAAATCCTCAAAAAAAAGAAGAAATATGAAGTGGTTTTAAGGAGCTTTCTGCTGTGCATACTGATATTCACAGAAACAAGAATACATTTGTGTCTGACATGTTCTCACAATCTGAGAGCAGAGACGTGCTCCTCCAGCTGGGCTTTAGCGGCAGCCTCTCTGGAGCAGCGGAGGCTCCAGTCCCTGGATGTGGACAGAGCCTGGGCCAACTGGGATTCCTGAAACAAAACACAGGGTAGAGGTGGTAAGTAACTAAGTACATGAACTCAAGTACTGTACTAAAGTACAATTTAGAGGGACTTGTACTTTACTTGAGTATTTCCATTTTATGCAACTTTGTACTTCTACTCCACTACAATTCAGAGGTAAATCATGTATAATTACTCCACTATGTATTTAATACCTTTAGTTACTTCACAGATCTGGATGAATGATGTGAAATATAATCAAGTGTTAAATCAGACTTTAGTTCCACCTGGAGTAAATCCACAAGCTACCCTGCAGTATACAAAGTCATTCAAACTAGCTGCACCTTTACCAGCTTTGAGAACACTTTAATGTTCAATCATTATAATCAAAACATATGATATATATAATTCTGAAATAGACCAATCTGCATAATGAGTACTTTTACTTTTGGTACTTTAAGTATATTTTGATGCTAATACTGTTGTACTTTCACTTGACTAACATTTTCAAAGGTCCCATGTCATGGCCATTTCTACTGATCATAATTCCATTGTTGAGGTATACTAGAATAGATTTACATTGTTCAATATTCCAAAATCACATTGGTTTCTCATACAGCATCTCTGTATAGTATGTGTATTCACTCTCTGTCCATATGATGGGACCTTTAATGCAGGACTTTTACTCGTCACAGAGTATTCCTACACTCTGGTACTTCTACTTTTACTTACTTTAAGTCAAATATCTGAATACTTCTCGCACCTATGCTTTTAAGTTATTTCACAGATATGATGTACTGTACTGACCTTTGTTGTATATTTAAATTCTTAATAAGTTATTTTCATATTTTAACCTGGTTATAGGTTTTTTTAAATAGCTCTTAAGGTAGTTTTATGTTTACAACTTAATTCCTCCTATTGTGTAAAACCATGGTACCTAAGCAAACAGACCTTGTTGTGTACACTGTGATACTTCTCAATGCTGACCTTCTCCTGCACTTTCTCTGCGAGCTGCCTGGTGTTCTCCTCCGCTCGCTCGGCCTTCTGGGTCAGCTCCTCCTGGTCCTCCTGGTCCTGCCGCTCCTGCTCCTCCTGCTCCTCGCCTCTCCGCTGCCTCAGGGTCTGCAGCTCCTCCTGCTGAGTGTGCAGCTCCTCCTGCTGCAGCTCCTGGCTCTGCTGCATCCTCTGCTCCACACAGAGTGGGAAACACACTTTCACATCCAGCGATTCTTCACTGGAGTTTTCTTTTCATGACACTTTTTTTCTTCTACTTCTCTACATTTTAGAGAAAGATATTGTACTTTTTAATTCACTACATTTCTCAGACAGATTTGGACTATCTTTGTTCATGGATTTTTCAAACAAATTGACAGCAATGGCAAAGCAGTCATTGTTGACAGTGTCATGTTAAAGTAGTACGATACAAAGCAAAACAATATAATACATTGCAACGACAAGGACAACAACACAAACAGTCTGTTTGGTCATACTTTCCATCTTCAGATAACGTAAAAATCTCACCTTTAAAGGTCAGAATTAAAATAAAATAAAGTAAAATGGGATCTTAATCTGGCCTAAGCTTTAGTTATTTCATCTTATTGAATGATTTTCTAAATATCTAAGGCCGTATATGCTGCTCTAACAGTCTGAAAGCGATGAAAAGGCTCAAGTAAGAGCAGCCACATTTTTATATTCTGAAGGACTGGGTAACATTTCATAAAAGCAATCAATAGCAAAAGTTAGCAAACATCAATCCCCAGTCTGTAGGGTCACTATCTTGCTTAATATGGTACTTCCAAGTTCAATCAAAGAAGCTTTTTCATATCAATGTGTATAATGAAACAGGAATTGTTTGCAAAGTGTATATGATTGTTTTACACTTTGTGTCGATCTATTCCAATTACGATATAGATATTTTTTTGCAACATTATTCACATAATCTTAAAATATATTACAATTATCATGATTAATTTAAAGAGGATTTATACCAAACCTTTAGGTTTTGTTAGGGTTGTAGACAATGATTTGAAGGCGATAATGAACCTTTAAACAAATGTTTTAATTTCCTGCATTTTGAAAATTGCACTAATAATAATAATAATAATAGCTTAGATTTATATAGCTTTTACAAGGAAGAACAGGGCAAAATAAAAAGGCAATCAGACAACCAGTCAGACAGACAAAAACAACAAATAGATTAGGGGCCAAAGGCCTTGGTGAACAGATGGGTCTTGAGCGCCCTTTTGAGGGCGTCAAGCGTGGGGATGATGCGGATCTCCGCAGGGAGAACATCACTAGTCCATACTTCAATTTTGATATCATATAAATAAATTGTGCAGCCCTACTTGTAATATCAACAGCAGCACCCAATTAAAGTCCTTATGTTGGACCAACAGGTCTACCTCCAACAGTTCAAGTGTGTTGTTAATGTTCACAGACCTGAATCTGAGCATCCAGATGGATCTTTTCCGCTTCTGCTCTGCTCAGCTCTGATTCCAGATGGCCGTGGGTTGACCGCAGGATTCTTGAAAGCTCCTCCGTCTGCTTCATGTTTTCCTGCCAGGACAGAGAAAGGTGATGCAGAATATATATTTGTGAACACCTTAAACCTTAAAGGTTTCATATTTGTATTTAGTGCCTCTACTGTGACATGTTAACGTGCTTTAATGTTCCAAAAGCCCTTTATTATTCTCATACTGCCTTATTCTCATCTTTTCACCCTCTGTCTGAAACCAGAGCCCAGTCTACTCTGATTGGTTAGCTGGCCAGCTCTGTTGTGATTAGTCAACCAATAAGAGATGTCCTGCACCTTAGCAGGGTATATGTAGGAATCCTGAAGTCAAATGTAATACCTTTTAAGACCTTTTTTAAGACCCTTTCCATACATTTGAAGACCTCTAACCTCTAACCGGTTACATTGGCGACACACTTTACCTCACATTTACTATATTCAGTAATGATTGTCCTTCCTCCTTATCTTCCAACCATTTTGACGCAAACTTGCATTTCCCCATAACGATGTTGTTTAACAACCGGCGTAAACGGACCATCAGTCAGTGAGCGCACAATGTCCTGTTCAGATGACGTCAAATCCAACGGGATGCCATAAATAAACTATACAGAATCACACTACACACCTACGCAATGATTACATTCAGGCACACTGTAGAATACAACCTCTTTGGACAATTGATATACTTATTGAAAACCAGCTACAAAATGTAATACCTTGGAAAATGTCGTTTAATACTTTTTAATAGCCTTAATTTTCACTAAATTGATTTATCAACCTTTAATACTTTTAAAGACCCCGCGGACACCCTGCTTAAGGCTAAGCAGGGTGTCCGCGGGGTCTTTAAAAGTATTAAAGGTTGATAAATCAATTTAGTGAAAATTAAGGCTATTAAAAAGTATTAAACGACATTTTCCAAGNGCAGTCTCAGCATCAGGGGTGTCAAACTCAAGCCCGGGGGCCAAATCCGGCCCGTGGCTTCGTTTCATGCGGCCCCACAAGAGCTTGCAAAGAATATAATATGTTTATTATACGGTTACAGGCCGATTTACAGAAGCACGTTGTCCATAAACTACATGTCCCACAATGCATCTCAAATATGACTTTTTTTCTCAGAATTTGACTTTTTTTTAAATGTCATTTTTTTTTTTTTTTAACTTTTTCTCCAGAATGTGGTTTTTCTTTTTAAATCATTTTGTAACATTCTCACTGAAGAGACTTGCAATTATTTGGCCTAGACTTCTGCTTTCAGATGTAGTTAATGATGAAGTTATTACCCTATCCGATAATAATCCAATGCAGAGGCAATATTGTAATATAATACATTATTTTATATATATTAAATATTTGTATATGTATTTTTATATAGTCTTAAAGTTACAACTGGCCCTTTGAGTGCAACCATAATGCTGATGTGGCCTGTGATGAAATTGAGTTTGACACCCCTGCCTTAAAGGATTGATTTAATCATCAAAAAGATACCCTCCTCAGAAATATGATCCGTACAAAAGCCTGTTTAGACATTATAAGACTTTTACTACCAAACACCAAGTGGTGACACAAGTATTTAAATATTTTTATGTAAAGGTACTTATTCCACAATTCGAAAATAAGTACAAATTCTGCATTCAATACCTGACTTAAGTAAAACTATGTTGGAAGTTATGAGGAAATATGAGCTGCTGCATTAAAGCCTCATTATACTGCTTTAGATGTTTAGAATATATATTTTGAGTCCATTTACATGTATTTAAGTAATTTTTTATTTCAGTTACATTCCAGCACTGCTAACACCAGGAAGTTGTTGCATGTACCTTGGCATGGAGGAGGCCCTGTGGCTCCAGAGGGAACTCCTGGTTGTGGTCCTGGTTGTCCATCATGTCCTCCAGTCGCAGCAACTTGACGGCACACATCGCCCTCCGGTCCCGGCAGAAAACAGCCACCTCCAGCTCTCGAGACTTTTCAACAATAGGAGAGCAGACAGAACAAGCACAACAGTTAATGAACACAAACAATTACTGATTATAATTGATTTACAAATGTGATCCAAAAACACATCCCCACAATATCAAAACAATTAAAAAATAACTCCCAAAGCAAAAGCCATCTTATTCTAAAATAATAGTGTCATTGCATGTAATGAATGATTGAGCTGATGAAAGAATATCTGCAGGTAGTAGATGGACACCTGCTGGTTCCAGACAAAACTACAACAATAATACATTAAAGCTTAAGAAAATGATGATACACTCTCTTGCAAGTAAGAATTCAAAAATATATCAACAGTATCATCAGGAAAATAACACAAGTTTCTGTCTTCCTCGAAGCCCTCCTCCATTCCTCCAACAAATGCCCTTGGACTATTCCATCATCTGCCCTGCTGAAATTACCACGAGTGATATTATTAAACGAATAACCACCAGTAGATGGCAGCACTGTGACACTGCACCATCTAGTTTGCCAAATAGGAAGAAGAAGACAGTGGCTCTGTGCTGCTTCAGTCTGCACGACCGGTAATGGGACGGGCATGACGTCAGCTTGGCGGGAGCCCCTGGGAGCAGAGAGCGCTGTTATTTTTCCTCCCTTTCCCTTTTTGTTCTTATTATACATACATGGAAGGAACCATGGAAGGAACCCATCCGCAGCTTACTTCGGGGTTTTAGGACGCGTCACTGCACCACTCTATATCAAGTCGGTGGTGTTTTACTTTATCACGACAGGACAGCCTATATTTAACATACAGTATAATGTTTTTTGCCTGTATGAAGGTATCAGAGGACATTTAAAATATTTCTTTTTTTATTGCGGTCCTCTATAAAAATTCCCAATCCCTAGTCAGGCTCAGGACCCCGTGGCATTTACCTAATGCCATTTAAAGACACACCAGAAAAACACAAACTGACTACAAAAAGGGGCAAAGTAAAACAAAAAACAAAGTCATATAAAGACCAAAACTATATTTAAATTACACAAAACAACTACAAAAAGACTAAAAATGACAAAAAGTATATACTGCTAGTATGTAGGTAATTGTGGAGTATTTTTCATGATTATTCCCAGGATCCCATCGGTTCAAGTCTCAGAGGGAGTGTAAGTACACTGCAGGTTTCAGTGTCTGGGTTGGGGCATGTCAAAAAAAATGCAGCCATTACCATGACATCCTGCATAATGATAAAAAAGGGTACGAGCACTTCTGCTCAGGACAAAGTGCCAGCTCCCCCTTTTCTTCAGAAGGAGAGCAGCCCAGAGAACAATCTCCTTCTCAACCCAACGGAAAGGCACAAAATATACAAAGAGGTCGGACCAGATCCAGATCCCCACTTCCAGCAAGCACGAGAGCCCACAGATTTATAACTTCATTTTTGTTTTAATTGCCTGCCTATAATATAATAAAGAAAATAAGTGTTATTAAGAGTTTACACATTTAAGTATTTAAGTTATCTAGATGCAAGAAACATTAAAAAGATTTCCTTCTCAAATATATATGTATTATTTTGTAAATGTCCCCTGTAGAGAACATTGGGTCAATCTTTTCCACAAAAGCTTTATTACATGAACATTTGATAATCAAATTCACTTCCAATAATTATATTAAAGTTCATATCAAATGTTTTTTGCTTGCTGTTAACTGGTTATGCATAGTTTTACAAGGCAAACAATCAGTCTGACTCTACCTCAATAAGTTTAAACAAAAACATTTTTCCTCAAGGTATGGTTGAAAATGAGATGAAGTCAAACTGACTCCAAAAATATCATGAATTAAAATGTGTATTTTGAAAGGCTAAAAGTTAATATACACTACACAAACTATTCATAAATTAAACACAAAGAATATAATCTATGTTCCTATAATTGCATCACTTGTTATCTCCCTTAATGCTATTGAATATATTTATTTTAAAAAGACAAAACCCACGGGACACTAGACAAATTAAGAAAGTGCTCCAGAAAACCAGAATGAACAGTTTTTCTCATTCATCTCCCGGTGTCATGTTGAGGATAAAAAGGAATTGCTTGGTTCAACTTACAGTTTTTATACATGTTTTATTACTCAAGTGTATACTTCCTGTGTATTCCCTCCCTGCATGGTGCCCTTGTACACTCTGTAAGGTCCTGTGGTGGACGTATTATACAACGTGTCAGCACATGCAGCGTTACTACAGCCTGTAAGCTGCTGATCCTCTTTCTATCTGCACCAATGTCACAGAGACAAAGTCCAGTCCATCCATCATACAAGGAGAACATGCTGTCTTTGATCCTGGAGTATCTCAGTGGTGTCCTGTTTCTGTTGTTCAACTTATTTCAGGTTGAAACAGGATGTACATGCAAAGGAAGTACTGCTTGGACCTGGGGGCTTGTGATCAGAATTATAAAATTAATCACAGAAACGGGTAGCTGGACTACAGTAAAGAAGGTTTATATTATGGGATATCTGTGGTGGAGCTATTGTTTAAGTTTTCCCTCCAGTTTTGGCCAAACGTGCCACTCTAATTGACTTGGTTGAATTGAGTTGGATTCAATCATTTCATAGGGGCTAATTAGCGTACAAGGTAAAAAAGAATGTAACAATTTCCCAGAGTTAGTCGATTTTTGTACTAGCTGGCTTTCAGGAAAAATGGCCTAACTTAGATTTCTCCATGTTTAATATAGGTGTAGTAGGGGTAATAAACTCAATATGATCATCAGAACTGAGATGCTACTGGTGTAAACATGCTGGGTTGACTGCACTTCAGTGACTCACCCGCTCCAGCTGGATGCAGAACGTCTGATCCCAGGTCAGCCTGCCGACAGCAGCCAAGCGCGTCTGTCCCACCACTCTGCTGTCCAATCGGAGCACCGCACTGATCTCCACTGTGGGACAGAAACACATAAAATGAACTGAATCCACAGAATCACCACATTCTACAAAAGTGTTTCTCATCAGATTAAGGCAATAATCTGACTGTTGTAACCATCAATTGAACAGCTCTTTCTGTGGAGTTAAATACGATCTAAAATCATCCTTAACTTGTTTAGTTACTACAATATTTACAATTAAAACCTAGGTCTTGTTCCTATTGTTTATCATAGTAAGAAGTCAAAGTTCTTTTTTTATTTCAATTGTGAAAACAAGATAAAATAGATTGTAAATACTGCATTTACCATAAGCTATCAACTATGTGAATATATATATTTATAAAAACAAATACCACTCACAAAACTGAGCATGTTCAAAGTGGGAACAACACATTTGAATTAGCTTTAAAGCTGCATTTATTGTTTTGTTGGCCACATTTAAGCCCAATAACTGCCCAACAACGTTACAGAGAGAACTGTGACATACAGCAAATTGTCATAATGTCACCATACCAGAGACAGAGTAGTTATCAGAAGCTAGGCAGAAGTCATGTTTCTGTCCGCCTGATGAATGTAAGTCAACATTTCACTCTCTTTGGTTTCTGTTTTGGTCGCAATTTTCTCCAGAGAAACTAATCTGCCTCTTTAGCTGCTAGAAGCTCCACTTTCCTCAACACATGGCTTCACCTGCAGGTAGAATGTATACTTTGGCTTTATCGGGGTTCACTGTAGAGATTCAAAGAATAACACCAGGGATTCTCCTACTTCCAAAGATGCCAATGTATAACCAATTTTTACTTGTTTACCATTTATCTTAGAGAGTAAATTTCATACCATTTGGCAAATGGCCTTTTATAGATGACTTCCAACATTGTTTGAAAAAAATATAATGCAATAAACTCACTGATTAGATTAACTTTAACAAACATGTCTCAGTTTTCATGAAAAATGCTTTTTAAAATCTGTTTGCTTTAAGTTCATGTTCTTGTTAGGAGAATTACAACATTCAACAATTCTATTAATTGATAAGGACCACTGGAAGCCACTGGAAGACAGTTTGAATATATACTTTAAGTTAAGATTGATATACAATTATATTAAATGTCTAAAATTGTCACACACACACTTGTAATTTACTCCCACTCATCATGAACAAAGGTTTGCATTTGCTTTCATAATTGTATTTTAGTTTATGGGGTAATAATAATTTCTAAGAATAATCTTTGGAAAGAGCTTTGTTTACTTCCTTTGACAAGCTCAAGTTAAAGAGGACGTGTTAAGCTCATTTTCAGTTTCATATTTGTATACAGTATGTCCACTTACCAGGTTGTTCCTGTGTCCTGTGAGCATCTGGATTGTCTTCAGAGGGAGAAAGATGGTTCTCCTGCTCTGGGTTTGTCAGTACATCCTCACATCCAAAAAGTGTGACTTCAAGTTTCCCTGAAAAGAAAGAAGATCAACATATTTTGAAAAAAAAGAAACATTTGAGATCAGCTTCCATTAAGCTAAAATAGTATCAAGTGTAACAATAACTAACCAGATGTTGAAAGTGGTTTTGAGCACAAAAAATGAACCCGTGTGTTTCAAATGCATGGTAATGAATCTCAGTTAAGGCAGTTGAGCTAGTGCACTTCAAATTAAACCTTTCATTTATCAGCGTGAATAAATCTCTCAGACCGAAGCCTGTAATCAGTGCTGCTCTCTGGCGCTCGTACATCTAAATGTACTTAATCTAACTTTAGTGCAAATAGCTGGGTATTTACTGCTACAATTTTTTGCTACAGAATTTGTCTCCTTGTTACATCATCAAAAGGCTTTTTGTGCGGCTTACAAGTGAACTGTCCAAAAAAAAAACAGATTACACATCCTGATTATCCTCTGCCAGAGGTCAGCATATGCTCACCATGTTCAAAAACTGGGCATCCATAATACTACTGAATATTTAAGTAAAGAAATGCTTACATTTAGAAGTACATTTTATAGTAAGAGAAAATACTACTACTACTTTTTAATTCCACACTTATACGAACGGCATGAAGATGAATCTTTCATAAAAAATGTTTTTCTATTCATAACCAGTTTGAATTGGGTCATTTTAAGATATACCTTTATTAATTCCAATGGGAAATGTTACCGTTATAGCAGCTTAGAGCAAAAGCAAAGACCAAAACCACCCTTTTCAAAAATAGATAATGCCTTATAACTTAATACAAGTTTGAGAATAGCTGTATATAAACATGTATAATGCTGTGGTGTGATAAGTAAAGTAAATCCTTGTGAGATGGACTGGTAAAATAAATGAAATGTACGGATATTAACGTTTTAAGCAGTTCAGATCCGTGTCAGTATTGCAATGTGTACCAGTCAAAAAGGCAGGTCTGAAAGAGAAGATGGACGGGGACGTGGACAGGGGACATCCAGGTCTGGAGTTTTTAGGAGACTGACTTCCCTCAGAAGGAACGGCCCCCCCTGCAGGCTCCTGGTTGGTTTCCTTCCTGCACTTATCCAGAGACAGCCGCAGAAGATCCAGCTTCTGGGAGGACTCCTGCACCCGGGTCTGAGCCTGAAGGAAGATAGACAATGTGTTGTTATGATCGGTCTGCTTGACAGAGAAGAGTTAAAGACATTTCAGCTTAACCTTAGTTGATGATAATATATCAGGATATGAAATTAGCCTGCAGATGTCCTGGTCCAAAATCAGACCAAACTTGTTTATGGATGATTTTCAGCTAGGATGAAGACCAAAAAAGGCTTTTGCTACTTAATAAGTTGTTGACCCTTTCAGCCTCTACCAGACGGTTCAGGGTGGTGAGCAGTCAGCAGCCAATGACGGTATAAAATAGTAATACAAAAGTTTAACATTTTTAACCCATTACAGTTCATAAACATGCACAAGAAGTATTGGGCTGATGTGACCACAGTACCAAATTAGCTGTGGACGGGACGCTTGATCCCCTCTAGGATTACGCCTGTTAGACAAACCTACTGCACGATGCACTTGAAAATGGTCATCAGCCATTTTATGTTAAGATTGCAAGATAGATGATTTGCAATGGCCTAGACCAGTGTTTTTCAAAGTGGGGGCCCCGACCCCCCGGGGGGCCGCCAGGGGGCGCCAGGGGGGTCCGCAAAGTTTGAGGGAAAGTGGAATTCTTTTTTTTTGTTAAAGTTACATTTTTTTTTTTTTTTGATGTTATTAATAACTGCATATCTATCAATCTATGTGTACTTTGATGCCAATCTTTTAATATTTTTTACTTATTCATATATATATATATATTTTTTTTTTAAATCAGAAAACCGACCTTCAAGCCAATCAGAATCGAGCTGCCGCTACTGAGAGTGACACTGAGTATCTGCTCAGCTTTTGGAGCAAGTGAGAGCTAGTGAATATTTTTGCTCTGCAGCTGGATGAGAGCACGGATGTAGCAACTATTGATGTTTATATATGGTAAATGGTAAATGGACTGTACTTATATAGCGCTTTATCCAGTCTTTAAGACCCCTCAAAGCGCTTTACATACTACATGTCATTCACCCATTCACACCCATTCATACAGAGCAGTGTACCTTACTCTAGGACCTAACATTCACACACATTCACACACCGTTGGCCATGCCATTGGGAGCAACTCAGGGTTAAGTATCTTGCCCAAGGATACATCGACATGTTGACTGCATGGGCTGGGATCAAACCCACAACCTTCTGGTTGAAAGACGACCACACTCCCTCACGACCACACTCCCTCACAGCCACAGTCGCCCTTATATATGAATATAAATATGTTTACTGTTAATATTACTGTTGAATATTATATATAATATTATTAAGACATAAGTAGCTTTCAAAAATGCTAAAAATATATGCTAATTGTTCATATTACTGTTCAAAATTATATAATATTATAAAGATAGAAATCACTTAAAAAATATATTTACTGTTGATATTACTGTTTAATATTGTCTTAAGAATGTTTATAACAGAAGACACAATGAATGTAATGAATGACAAACAAAAGATAAATACAAATATTTTTTAGAAGAATAACTGATTATTAATTATTAATACAAATATATATTAAGAAAATGTATCAAGCTGTATGATTAATTTTTCATATTCTCCATCATAATGTAGTCATCATTTAAATAAAGGATTGCAACAGGGGGGTCCCCGCCAGACGATAATGCTATATGGGGGTCCTTGGCATGGCAAAGTTTGGGAACCCCTGGCCTAGACTATACACCAGTCAAATTAAACATTATTTAGAAATGTATTCTTCATGTTTCTGTGCTACAGTATTTTAAGGTGTTGCTAGTCATACAGTTGATATCCTTTTATGATCAGAGACATTTTGATTTAATTTTCCCATGCATGTACTTTTTTGAACATATTAAATACATTATTATTACAATTATAATAAAAACAAATATATAATAATAATAATAATAATAAAAAGAACTCATATATTGAAAATCAAAAATAATTCATTAGAATAAATCTTATTAAGTGGGGTAATAATAAAAAATGAGCACACTACCATTTTTAGAGTTAGATTAAAGCTGATTGCAAGGCTGTGATGTCAGAAGCTTTTACGCAACAGCAATAATTCTGTTATCAGAAAAGAAACTCAAAATATTAAATAAGATCTCTAAGCTGTACTTCAGAAATGATTATCAAGAAAACCCACATGTTGTAGACATCTTTCTCTATAGCTCGAGGTTATTCTACAACAAGAAAGGAGTAGGAAATGTGCTGTCATGACGATATCCTTTAATATTTTTGTTTGATACCATTTTGTATAGAGAGTTCTACCTCAGTCAGTGCCTTCTGGTCCAGCGCTGAGATTCCCTCCAGCTGCTTCACCACATCTTTGGCCAGCACCAAGGCATCGGTCTCTCTCTGCATGTAGTGCTGCAACTCTGCCAAACGAGCCTCCACAGCACTGACAGGAGAGATCCCTATAAGACGAGAGGGAGAGTATTTCAGTACTCTACAGGAATTCACTTCAGATGAGCGATACATCCTCATATAGCCTCTTCTCACTCCTGCATTCAATATTTATAACGCTTAGCAGAGCCCTTTTCTCTGAAATGTCTCCTCGCAAAGGTCTGTATGTTACATTTTTATGTTCCTGACATTTAGCTGACAATTATCTGAAACGTATGAAAGCTCTAAAAGGAAATATAAAAACGACACATTGGGAGAAAACCGTTTATCCTTTGCAAAGTTAATACAAGGAGACAAGGAAAAATGAGTTAGGTAAAAATGACTACCTCACTTTTCTTTTAATCTTGCTGCTTTGCTAATATTGACTTCTGAATAATAATAATAGTAATAACTTGGATTTATAAAGCGCCTTTCAAGAGACCCAAGGGCGCTTTACAATAGGACGAGGGGCCGTTGTGGAAATAAACAAAGGGCTGGTCACAAAACATGTAGAGGAGAGAGATCATTGAGGCTGAAAGCCTTGACAAACAGATGTGTTTTGAGTGCTTTTTTAAAGATATCAACAGAGTCAGCGGTCCTGTATAGTCCTGTAATGTATAGTGTTAAACATTTCATCATTGTTTTTCTAAAAGATTCTCTACAAAATCTTTGTTTTCCGTGGGGAATCGGCCTTAAATGGGCCTTATTAAGCTCAATTTAGGTTCATTTTTGTACTATGCTACATAGTGATGGGAGTGAAACTCTGGAGCGGACTTTAGGATTTCAGCATTTGCAGACCATTTACATGCACAAAAACCTATGTATCACACTACAGGAAAAGGCAAACCCCCCAAAAAGCATAATAAGCCCCCTTCAATTAACATTTCCTGAACCGTGAACATGGTAAAATGGTTTCTGTGTATTATGTGTATCATCTGTATGGTAAACATTGAAATGCATCAATTATGTACCTTATTTCTCAAAATGTTGTATTCAAGTCCTGCGTGTTCTTTGAGGGCGTGAAAAATAATAGTTATTTATTGTGGAAAATTGTGAATAAATCTATATATTCTCTTAATGACTCTTAATGTTAAGTGTTTACTTGCACTTTACTGTTTTATATTTGTAAAACTTGACTTGTTAACAACTCTGGAAGTGTGGTGTTTTGTTTTTTGCAACCCATCGATTACCCTTATTGTCTATATTTTTCCTCTTTTTCCCACTCTATACTGCAACTGCTGAAAAACAATGTTCTTTGGGATGAATCCACTTTTAACTGATCTCTTCCAAAGCAGCAGCACAGTGTGTAAGGTGTAAAGTGCCCTACTGTCTTATCAAATGTAGCTGACACTTGGATACACAGTGAATCGAGCTGCTAGTAATAACAAGGACTTAAATTCCATACAGAACAAAACATAACAAAAGAATCAATGAGGAAAAAGGTCAGGGGTGAAGGAAATGAAACGTGAGAGGAGGTAAAAAGGTACAGTTACATGTCTCGTATTACTTTTGAGCCATGAATAATGTTGTGTTAGTTTCAGAGTTTTCACTCTGTAGCACATATCTACAGTTCCAAAGTACGCTAAATGTACCGTCTCTTATTAGAGGTGCAAGAGTGGTTTCACTTTCTGGATTAAACAAATAATGCGCGCAAAAAGGAAGGGTGGCAGGAAGCACGGTTCAACTAATATGGGTAGTATTATATTTCAGGGCAGAAGTTTCTGACAGGCATTTTTAGCTGTCACCAAGTGTCTTTCAGCTGTATTTCTTTCCCTGGAAGGGCTTTTGAAACACAAAAACATTATTGAAAATGAAAAACTATTGTCACAGCTTGTTACAGCATGTCAACCAAAACCTGTTTAATGAAAGGAAGGTCTTGCCTAATTTACTGGCTTTACTTTTAGGTGTGTATCTGGCTTGACATCAGCAGGGGAAATAAATTGGCACGGTTTACAAAAGAAAAAGAAAATCCTAAAACTTTGTTTACCCTTAATCCCCTTTCTTGAAAAAAGAGTCGTGACCTCCTTCCAGAGAAGAAGGACATCCACATCTGACATCATATTGTCTCTTTTCAAAAGTATTTTTCCTGACACACAGGAACATTTATAATAACCATACAGTTTCTGCTGAAAAGTATGGAATTGTTAATCAATACCAGCGACCCTGAGGCTGAGCTTGAGATTTTGAGTTTAGAAAGTATGGTTCTCTATTACAAAATGGCATTACAGTTTGATTATCCCAGTATGTTGTTATCTATTATGTTTAGATTCCTTCTTTCTTATAGATTGCTGGTGTAACGAGCCAGCTTGCTCTACATTAAGAACATTAATGTGATTTTAAAAAATGGTGTTACAGATGTGTTTATGTTGCTCGTAGTGAGAGATGTATTGTATGACAGCAAATATGATTCCATGCCTTGTTGGAGATAGTTTACATGCTAGAAGAAGCTGTACATTTCCAGTACAAATGCCTCTAGAAATAAACAAAATTCCAACCAATCGTGTAAACAACTAATCATCTGACATGCAGCGATCCTCTACAATAGGGGTCATGGCCCAGGACTCTGACCTCCATGAGTGGGGTCTCCACCACCATCCTCGCCAATTCCACTGCTGCTGCCAGCCTGGGTGACTTTGATAATCTGCAGTCGGATCAGCTCGATCTTGGAGCGGCTATCCTGCAGCATCTGCTGAGCCGTGGACAACATCTGATCCTGGATAACGAAATCACATCAAGAGACAACAAGCCCCACTTCATCACCACACTTGTTTCCCCTGCATATCAGTGGGGACAGGGGAGTAAGATAGAAAACAGCCATTATTTATCAAAACAAATGGCACAACATAAAGGGAATCACCAGAGACATGCAGCTCTGCACACACCACTCATCTCCATATAGGACAAAAACAAGTGGCAAAGAAGATAAGTGAGAACAACGTGTTCACATCAGGTGGAAACAGCATGACTTTGCACTTCACTCACCTCAGGTTGATGCTCTCGCTCCTTGCTGAATAAGGACTAATTTGACATCCTCTGTGGAGGTAGAGGGGAGGACTTCTCAAGTTGCCACCTTCACTATCCTTGAAACACAAGTCCTATGATGTTATGGTGCGTTCACACACACACATACACACACACACACACACACACACACACACTGACTTTGGACTCCTCTGATGCCGCTCCTACATCTTGAGACCTGGATCACACAGACTTGTTTTTGCCTCTGTGCAGCCTCTTCTAAAACGTCCCCTTCCCACTGCTTCCTCATCCTCCTCTGCTCTATTAACAAATCCTCTGTGTCTCTCCCCCTCTCTCTCTGTCTCTTTTAGAGGGGGTTGCTTTCTGCAGGGGGACGGACGGCGGAGTTCCTCTCTGGTGCCAGCACTGCTGCTGCTGCTGCTGCTGTAGTCTGACAGTGTTGATCGCCTGCTCTGGGCTTCGTATTGGCCGCTGCAAGACCACATGTTCCTGTGTTGTCACCAACCAAAAGGCAAACAGAGCTGCTGCTGCTGCTCTCTTCGGGACAAGGCAGTGCGGTGGTTACGAGATTTGTTTATCCTGCTCTGACAAGAAGGGTTTGTGAAAGAAGTTAATAACCTTAAGTATTGTAGTCCACATCTAGGGGGTGGAGAATGGTGGAGAAGTTGCTGGTGTGCTGAACATGATGCTGAACATAAAGCTTACTGACAGCACTTTGGATGATTACAAGCATGTGCACTTCTTGTCTGCAGCAAGCATGACAGCTCTATGCTGCCCTGAGAAATTGGAACCGAGATGAATGGCTCTGTTCATTGAAATCCATTAATATGTGTAACATGTACACATGAAAGGACACCAGTGGTTAATTAAAAGAGAAATACAATGGTAAAAAACCGCTTTTCAAATGTAATTTCCTGCATTCTAAATATTAGCATCAACATTTACTAAGTGTTTAGTATTTACTATGTAGTGAGAATATACTATATTTTGTCATATAAATAGACTATAATGGTTGATGAGCAAATGTAGCTAATTACTTTGAATGATATTTTGTATTATAATGTAAATCTGCAAAGTAAATGCTATCAAATAGAAACAATTAAGTAGTCAAATAGAGTAATAGAAGGAAATAGAAAAAAGTACAGTATGCTGTTTTCTTTTGAGTTGCTGTGGAGTTGAACTGTATAAATATAAAGTAACGGAAATGCCAGGGTACCAGTATACCTCAACGTTTTTAAAGAGGAGAAACAGAAACGTACAAAAGGGACCAAATGTTGTGACACACATTGGGCTAGTTTGAGTTATTGCCAGTATGCTTTTTATTAGAGTAATTGAATTGAATTGCATGTGCTAAATACTGTATGTAGGCCTACCTATAGAATTGCAGTCCTATTTGTATTTTAGGCTATATTACCTTTTAATTACATTTTAAATAAAGATATTTCTAAACGTCCTGTTTACTTGTCCCTTTCGTATCAAACACGAACAATTAAATCCTAAAACTGAAAAGCTCATTTGCATTGACCACCAGAACGAGGTCCCTCCTGCCTCCAATGATATACAGCATCTTTTTTTAAAGTGCGCAAGTGCGAGTCGGTCCAAATGAAGGTTTGGCCTGGTCCTAATAAAATATTTTGGGCGGCCATTAACTTCAAAATTGTTTCTGAGATCAATACTAGTACTAATTAGAAATGTAGTTCAATTTTTGTGATATTTTAAGAGGAGAAAGAGGTGTAAATCAGCAAATGTGAGCAAGGCAGTGAGACCTATTTTGAGAGGCGGAGCTCGCCCTCTTCTCCATTCGGCGAGGCGCGTCGTAATGAAAGGAGCGCGTGAGCGGCGGTTGCTGTGACTTCCTCGCTCATCGGCAGCTACATTGTGTGGAAGCAGCACGTTGTTGGCTTCTGCACGCTGTGAACTTTACGCCGAAAATTCTCCTGTTCAAGGAGAAACCAGATTTCAAAGCTACCAGCTAGTTTCTCATACGACAGTTAGTTATCCCAGCTTGAGAAATCATGTCGGCCTCGGCGGCAAAAGTGAGTAAAAAGGAGCTGAACTCGAACCATGACGGAGCGGACGAAACCTCCGGTAAGATGGGGAATCATGGCGGCCTCCCGTTCACCGCCATTTTCACTTTCTTCTTCTAACACAATTTGTATTGCTACAGGGTTAAATATTGTTGATATATACTGTGTGTATTGCTTTAATTTAGCTCCAGGACCGTATTTGTGGTGGACCGCGGCTGTTTGCTGCGTGTGTTCGTATTTCGATAACAGCAGCTAGCTCGTCAGCTAGCGCATTTATTAGCATGCCCGCTGTTGTTCAGTTCAGACCGGTGCTGAGAGGCCATGTTAGCTAGCCCTTAGCATCATCAGCGTGGCCAGTTGTGTCGTTCGCTGCCCACTAAGTGGATGTGTGCGATGCTGGATGATACTTTGCATTGGGTGCTGTTCTAAAACGAGCTTTATTTGAGCAAGTCACCATTACATCGCTTTTATTGTGATTTTGAAACGAGGAAAGTGAAAATTTCATTCAGGCGATAGCCGTTAGCCAGCTACTGTTGTTGTTGTAATGTTACCTAACGTTAGCTGACGACGTTATGTCTTGTTACTGGTCAAAATGCATCCATATTTACCAGCCTTTCTATCAGTTTAACGTGGTAAATATTATATTTATACATCTGCCGTAAGACCACCGGTACGACTATCAGGGGGGGTTGTTCTGGCATCTATCCTAGCTTGGTCTCACATTATCGCGGCAATGTGTGTGTGCAGACTCACATTTAAACCACGCGGCCTTGTCGGTTGCAGCCGGCAGGAAACGCAGAGTGTCTGAGCCGCTAGAGCTGCAGCTATTGGCCGCTCATATTACGTTAACCTCCGGGGGAGCCTTTATTTTACCGCGCACTACGGGGCGATTAAATATTGTAATCTCAAAGTCTATTTGAATGAGTAAAACTTCGAAAAATCTTGAAAGTACAGTAGGGTTTCATTGTGTCAAACTCACACACATGACTTGAAATACGATAAGTTTTGCGTGCACGTAAACAAAGTTATGCATGTATCTTTTTCTGGGCAAATCTGTTTTTTCCCCGAGCTCTGTTATGAATCTTTTATAACACATTTTTTATTTTCACAGAGAAAGAGCAGCAAGAAGCTATTGAACACATCGACGAAGTTCAAAACGAAATTGACAGGTAATTTAAAAACACTTTTTTATTTTTAAGGTCGGGGTTGCTGTTTTGTAAATGTAAAAATAACTAATGAAGTCAGATGGGGCAGCCTGTTTTGTGGCATAAACAAATGCATATTCTGAACTGTTTGACTTCCTGTTACTTTTCAATTTCAAAGAATCATGTTTTTTTTAAACACTTCTTCAACTTTGTTCTCCCTTCAGGTTGAACGAGCAAGCCAGTGAGGAGATCCTCAAAGTAGAACAGAAATACAACAAACTCCGTCAGCCATTCTTTCAGAAGAGGTCAGAACTGATCGCCAAAATCCCCAACTTCTGGGTCACTACGTTTGTCAACCATCCACAAGGTGAGCTACTCAACATGAAGTGTTTATTTTCATAGCCTAGTCATTCGGAAGTTATTTCATTACCAGGTTAAAATGTTTTGGACAGTGGCTCAAGTTAAAGTCTGGTCTGTCCCCCCCCCCCCCCCCACAGTATCTGCCCTACTGGGAGAGGAAGATGAAGAAGCACTTCATTACCTCAGCCGAGTGGAGGTGACAGAGTTTGAAGACATCAAATCGGGCTACAGAATAGATTTTGTAAGTATTGACACACGGTATGGAGGTACATGTTGTTTCATATATTCTTACTAATTTTGTAATGTTTTTGTTTTCTAGTATTTTGACGAAAATCCATACTTCGAAAACAAAGTACTTTCCAAAGAGTTCCATTTGAATGAGAGCGGGGACCCATCTTCAAAGTCGACAGAAATCAAATGGAAATCAGGAAAGGTATGTGTATTTTTCCAATAATTTTTTTTTTTTGCAAAATAGAGTTGATATGCTAGTTTGAGTACTTGACCAAAAACAAATATCAAAGCAGTATGACCTGACAAAAGGACTTGCATATTGAACATTTTTAATCAGAATCTTTTTTGTGTATGCTCCCTCTGTTTGTAGGACCTGACCAAGCGCTCCAGCCAGACACAGAACAAAGCCGGAAGGAAGAGACAACATGAAGAGCCAGAGAGCTTCTTCACTTGGTTCACTGATCACGCTGACGCCGGTGCTGATGAGCTCGGAGAGGTCATCAAGGATGACATCTGGCCTAACCCCCTGCAATACTACCTGGTATGTCTACAAATGGGGTTATCTATCTTTAGCTACCACTTTCCACAATAAGCAGACCTGTTTTTGACTTTATATTCATTTATTGTATTCCTTTTTGGGGGTTCGAGGCATGCTATCTTTTTTGGTATGACTTAAAAGACACAAATTCTCAAAGTGATTTTCATTACTAGGTTCCTGACATGGATGATGAAGAAGGGGAAGGTGAGGACGATGAAGAGGACGAGGAGGGTCTGGAGGACATCGACGAGGAGGGAGATGAAGATGGAGAGGAGGACGAAGAGGAAGATGGAGAAGATGGAGAGGTATAATGGATAAAGTCCAAAATGTTTCTTTAAGTGGTGTGTTTTCAACAACTCGCTAACTTTATGATATCTTGTCCTTTCAGGATGATGAGGGAGAAGACGACTAAGTAATAACTTGATCTACCCAAACCCTAAACCTTCTATTCCCTGTTTGGTTTTTCCACTCGCATTCGGGAGCAAAGGTTTTAATTTTATTTTTTTGGTTACTTTTTTTTATAAATAAATCTGTGTGCTTCATTTTCCATTCTGAAGCCTCTTCACCTTGGTGGTGCCATGTTATGTTCTCCTTTGAATCATCTTAGGACAATGGCACTTTTCCCTGAATTGTGAGTACCATCCCCAAAGTCATTTTTCTAAAAAATGTATAAAAATAGAATCAGCACAGCTACCTGAGTAGAACTTTAAAAGACCATTCACAATTAATTCCTACTGTTAAAGGTTGTGTTTTTAAATTGACTTCAGTGACCCAGTGCTAGTTGACCCTTCAATTTATTTTCCATCTATTTTTTTTTTTCGGTTGGGGTTTGATCCCTAGAAGAAAAACTGTTGTTTTCCCTTATGTGGTTAACGAGTACCAGCTCATTCCTTTTGACTTGTAATGTTTAGTGGGAGGGGGGGGTGGGGCAGGAGTATGTTGGTTATTGGGGAGAGTGGTTATTTTGACACCATTTCTATGGGACTTTTTTTTTCATTGTATTGTTTTACAGATATCCATGAGATTTGAAATGACATTTTTAATAAAGAACAAAATGGAAAAAAAACAAGCTTGTACATTTTGGCCCCCAATGCTTTATGGGTAAAAAAAAAACACAAAAAAACGACTTATAACATAGAATTTACATGAAGTCACCTTTCCTTTTCTGCTGGGGGAGGGGGTAAATGAACCATTTTTAATTTGAGGTGTAAAACTTTATTTGTTAGCATAATAAAACATAATGTGTTAACATGTGGGTGCATAGACATTTATTGAAAATATATATTTAGGTAGTGGCAGAGGCACCTGGGTTCATTGAACAGTTGAAAGTCCCATCAACTCTTCAAGGTTTTTGGAATCATAAGCAGGCTTGAAGCAAAGTCTTCTCTTAAAAGACGATGGGTTATTAAAGCCAGGAAGGTATGCTCCGACTCCTCAAATTTGTTTTTCGTGACTGTATCCGGCCAGTCACTGGGCTGGAAGGCCCAACCTTGAGTGAGGGGAAAAAGAAAGATGATTTAAAACAGACTTAAGACTGAATAAACAGGCATTCTAATCATAAAATCTAGCACATGGCTCAAGGCAAGTGAAAAGTGTTTGAGATGGTCTCTGTGTAACTTTCCTTTAGTTGCACACCAGATAAATAAAATGTCTACAAAATTAAAAAGTACTTGGAACCCTCTAACTTAAGGTTATCAAGACTGTCTTCATCATATCTAATTCTTGAACATAAATTATGAAGCTATCGAAATACAAAGATTTCCTCAGATTTTAGGAGTGTGCATAACTTAATGTTTTGCATTTTCCTATAAAGACTTGCTTTACAAAATCCTGATGGGAACATGTTTATATAAGTCTTTCAAAACTACTATATAAACACAAAAGTGTGTTTAACTTGATTTCATATAATTATTACTTGTTACATTATCAAAACACTGATAAATAATATCAAATATATCAATATAATCATTTTAAGTAGTTAATTGGTGTAAACTTTCTTTTTGGGTGTTGCTACTTTAATTATTCAAGTTACAGTACTACCTAAACGACCATCTATATTGTAATATAGACTTATGTGACGTTAGTGCAAGTACTACACAATTATGCCCATACAAAAAAAAAAGAAGCTAAATAACAGTTTAATGTTGTAAAGTGATCTCACAGTACACCGTCTGTTACAGTTCCCACTCCCAGTATTGAAGTCTTTTATATATGTATATTTTGAAACACCAAAACTGCATCTTTGCCCCGTGATGGGTACGCACCTAAATGAGTTCCACACCGTGGACAGGTAGCCAGCGTCCATGAGAAGCCCGGGAACCAGGAGAAGTGTTTATCTGCCGGCCAGCGCAGGGTAACGTCCGATTTCCTGAAAGTAATCACCTCAAACTGGTGTCCGTGGGGGTTTTCAAAAAGCTGGACGTTAACCCTTAGGCTCCTGATCGACGTATCGTTGCGGATGGAGAGCGCCATCCGGCTCAGAACATTGTGGATGTCCGTCCCGTTCGCCAGTTCGTGTCCACACGCCCTGCACAGTATCAGGGCTGCGACGGGGCTGCTGCTGGTGCCCCCTTCCTCCTCTCCGGCAGCAGCACACGCCTCACCGGGCTGGTATGCAGCAGGATAAACCAGAAGTAATAAGGAAATATACTGCATTATTATGAATATGTCCTGCATCATTCCTGCACCCCACGCACATGGAAGGCTAATCACAAACTAGCTTAAACTCCTTAGCATTTGGGTGTGTTTTTAGCTGAAGTGATCTAACACCGATGTCGCTTCCTTATCGTATACCAGTCCAAGGTGCAGCAGATTAATCATAGGAGTATTTTAAATCCGACTAAAAAAACACTTTTAGTGTACATATACTTCTACATCATCATTCATTAATTTAAGAAGACAATAGTTTGCTAGCTCTACAGGCTAACTTATTGGCGGAAGTGCAGTCATCTCAACAATTTCCTTCTTTAACAGTGGCTACATCGCAGTACAACATCAACTCTTCTATACAGTCTATTAACAACACAACTACAATTCCTGCAAATAGTCACTTGTTTTATGATGTCAAGGTCATTAAAAACTTTTGATTGTGTGAGATTTAGGCATCTCTATTTATCGAATTATCAGCTAGAGTACATTAAGTTCACACATTCATACATCAAGTGTGTTATCGTTTATTTACTTTCAAACTAGCACACGTGGATTGTGTGAACATGTTTATACATTTACCAAAAAGCTTTAGTATTAAAAGTATTAGTTTTATCGGTATAGTGTATGAATAGTAATATTTAGTCAGCAGATATGTGTTTTACTGTTTATTGATTAATATGACTGAAGCACAAGTTGTGTTGCATTTCACCGCATGAGGTTTACATAGAATACATTATGTGTTAATGGATTTAATTACTGTTCTATTTACTTTAATGTTGCTCCTAGTCAAGCTGGAATCTAATTTTAATATTTAATATAGTTTAGGAGCCTAATCTTAAACAAAACATCTAATCTGAATCTTTAAATTAAAATAATGAGTAACCACTTCTGTGGTTACCACGGACAACGTTTATCGTAAACTCGGCTCCACCAATCACAGACGAAGATACTGCAAATGAGCCAATCAGAGAGGTCGTTTGTAAATCCAAACAACCGTCTGCTTCACAGCAGACGGTAGAAGAGAGACAAACGACGAGATTTATCCTGAAAGCATGTAGCTGCTAACTTAGAACGTTAACATTAAACTACCCATTAGGCTTTCTAATGACAGTTTGTTTGTGTTTCTGTTGTTGTGTTATGTTTTAACATCCTAAAAGAATGAAAACACGGGATTCACCACCGCCGCCGGTCCACGTCCATGTACCGGAGACCACACCTGTACATGTTCATATGAGGAGGAGTCCCTGCAGGACCCCTCAGGTTATTGTGCTGTTTGTTCGTTATACTGGAAATACAGGTTTTTATATTGTTTAGGTTTAACTAGCTGATGTGTACAATTCACAGTGGTAATAAATAGTACTGCTTTCAAATGTTACTGAAGCAAAAGAAGAGAACAGTTTTGTTGTTAAAAGATACTTCAAGTACCAAAAGTCAAAAGTACTCATTATGCAGAGCGACCTATTTCAGGAAAAAAATTACATTATATTATTCGTGCATCCTCACTTTAAAGTTTCAGCTGGTGGGAGTGGAGCTAATTTGTATTACTTCATATACTGCTGCTGGGTATATTGTGAATTTCCACCCAGAAGTCAATAAAGCTTGATCTTAAAATGTACTATAACATTAACTTGTTTATAATGTTTCTGTCATTTATATTCGGAATCTGCAAAGTTGTGGCGTAAAGAGTACAATATTTACCTCAGAAATGTAGAGAAGTAGAATTAGAAAGAGGGATACAAATGTATCACCTCTGCCTGATTTGTATGTCGTTTTTTTACCTTTTCACATGCTTTTTAAAGTGTTGACAATAAATAAACTAAATTATGGTGAGAGTGAAGATGTTACAATAAATTCAATGTGTTTTACCTGTGCATTCCCCTTGCAGATTAAAGCAAAAGACACACAGGTGAGGGGAGATGGCGGGCGGCCAAAGGTCCGTACACCGTGGATTCCTCCAGGAATCCTCTCCTGCAGAAGAGATGTGGGCTCCCTTAAGTGCCAGGTATTTTCATAGTGTTTATCTATCATTGCAATGCTTTCAACCAGAGCCAAATACAAATAAATGTGCTTGCAAATGAATGCAGTGAACGAGAGTGCAGGATATTTTGTTTTGCCCTATAGTAAAACATTTTGTAAGTTGTGTTAATTTTTGTCTCACTGGCAGAGAAGCAGAGTAGAGCATCGGTCGGGAAGTGGAATCGGACATCAGTGGGATGAAGAGGAGCAGGAAGAAGAACTTGCCGGAGTATCCACAAATCTCACTGTCCTCCTCAGAGAGCAAGACAGCATCCGTCAGTTAAAGAAGTAAGCACCGCATCAGCCGCATGCCACCTGTCAGAGGAAGCCGTCTCCAAATTACTTTAATAGTGTTCAAAACAACTTTAAATGATGTTCTTTTCATATTTTATTTAGTTAGGAATTGCCTTTTTTTGGTGAATACATTCCATTCAGATACTTTTAGTTGGCATTAGTTTTCTTGCTGTTGTCATTCCCCTCAAAATCAATATAACATCACACAGGAGAGGTTTAATGGCGATAAGGCCTAAATCCAGACTTTTGTCGCAACAGTCTGCACAAGTGTACTGGAAACATTTGAAGCCAATAACATTCTGCTTATAATACTTAAACACATTTTACAGCTTGATAATCCTCTCAAATTCATACCACTGTTATGATTATGGAAGCGTTAAAGGGGTTTTCCTTCCTGTAGGTTTTTGTACATGTTCATAGTCTGCAACGGCTAACATCCCATAGTTCACGCCAGAGGGAGTTTCTTGTTGGAGTAAAGATGTCGCAGCAGAGGCACAACATATAAATATGACCCTGAAAATGAGAATAATAGGGCCCCTTTAAAGCTTACATTTGAGTTCAACTACAACACCACTAAGCTTTTAAGCAGGCTAGGAAGTAACACAGGAAGTAACACAGTTAACAAGTGTTTACTGACTTATATATTTAATTATATTATCTTATATACAGAACATATATAACAAAAAACACTTAGTATCATTACTTTATCATCATTTTATGTACATTTTTTAATAAGATATAGCAGACTTGCTGACTTGATGCTTTAAACCACACCATTGTCACTTTATCACTTAACATTGTCTTTCATTTGGCATGGACAAATACAAATTATATATTTACTTATTTATTTATTTACTTATTAATCATCATTATCAATTTGTTTGTATTCTGTTTACTTGATTCTCTTTGTATATCTGTCGTATATCGGGCTGTTGCAACACCTGAATATCTCTTCTGGGGATCACTAACCTAATCTCACTTTGATTGTTTCCCTCTTACTCACAGGTCTGATTCCAGAAGTCAACACAGAGAGACCGACGAGCTCCTGAGGGCGCTAGTAGAGGCAGAAATCGATGGTGTAGCAGTAGCCAATCAGCTGACAGCCCTGAAGGACACTATTGACAGCCTCGCTAAGGTAAACCTGGAGGGATAGATGAAAGATGAGTGATTGGTGGGGGCTTTTTGCTGTACATGATTGTGACTTTATTTATGGTCTCAGGACAAGAGGCTGTCAAAGTTGCACGCATCTTCACTGGCACGGCAGCAGGACTTGTTGCTCGAAAAGATCGAGATGTTTGACCACACGAATCACAGCCTGCGAGAGCTCCTCAGAGACTGGAGTGTATATGAGGTACAGGAAGTAGAAAACAACTCGAGGAGATAAAAATAAATGCCAACATGCAATACATGCCTACTGCCTGTCATAAGCATACTATGTTTTATCCATAGAGAGAATCCTTTGAGTTGATACAACAGAAAGATGCCATAAAGAAGAGATTGACTGCCAGTGAAGTAGAGAACATTGTGAGTGTTAATCACCCAGCATGTGCAGCGCTGCATCTGAGCAGTTGTTACATGTTTTTCTTTTTCTCCTACAGCGACTTTTGACAAAACTCACCAACAAAGAGAATGAGGCTTCGAAGCTCGCTGAGCATTTGAACTTCGAAAAGGTTTGAAACTTAGCATGTGCTACTCAAATACAAAAGGTTTTTAAATCTTTTATTTTGTCATGACTTGGTAGAAATATGTTCATTTCTCCCACACACATTTTTACAGAAGCCCTATTATGCTTTCTGGGTTTTCCCTTTCCTGTAGTGTGGTAAATATATAGGTTTTTGTGCATGTAAATGGTCTTCAAAGGCTTCAATCCAAAAGTTCCCTCCAGAGAGAGTTTCTCTCATAATTTGACTACTTTGTTTACTTCTGTAACATAGTGACATCACAATGTATCACTCACACTTATATTAGCTAGCGCCCAAACAAATTGTACATGAAAGGCTAAGCAGGGTGTCCGCGGGGTCTTTAAAAGTATTAAAAGTTGATAAATCAATTTAGTGAAAATTAAGGCTATTAAAAAGTATTAAACGACATTTTCCAAGGTATTACATTTTGTAGCTGGTTTTCAATAAGTATATCAATTGTCCAAAGAGGTTGTATTCTACAGTGTGCCTGAATGTAATCATTGCGTAGGTGTGTAGTGTGATTCTGTATAGTTTATTTATGGCATCCCGTTGGATTTGACGTCATCTGAACAGGACATCGCGCGCTCACTGCTTGATAGCGCGCGAAGGTCCGTTTACGCCGGTTGTTAAACAACATCGTTATGGGGAAATGCAAGTTTGCGTCCAAATGGTTGGAAGATAAGGAGGAAGGACAATCAATACTGTATATAGTCAATGTGAGGTAAAGTGTGTCGCCAATGTAACCAGTTAAAACTCAAAGTGGCGATGAGGTCTTCATATGTATGGAAAGGGTCTTAAAAAGGGTCTTAAAAGGAATTACATTTGACTTCAGGATTCCTGCATATAGCCTACCCTGCTGTATATAACCATATAGTGAACATAATCACACTGATACCATTTATTGTTGTGAAACCGCACCGCTTTAAATGAGTGCAAACTGAGTGACCAGGTCAAAGGATGGCAGAGATTGAAGACAGAAATAAAGACGCTGGACTGGAGGCATTTGATTTAATAGTTTACTCATTCGGACTTGGACCCCGTCAGTCACATATTTATCAGGCTTTCGCACCAGTGCAAAAACACTGCTTACATAATCTTCAATCTTTGAGGACACAAGTACAAGCTCTTTTATTTCTGAGTGTGACTTACTAAATCTCTACGGCTTTTTTTTCTGTGCGCACTATACTGGCACACACATTGTTAAGCTTAATAACCTTACATATACAAAAAAAGATAAAGCTGTAGGAAAAAAGAAGATTGAAAATGGAACAAGCAAAAGCTGCAGATGGATATCTGCCAAAGTGGCGCTCTAATCATCGGCCACGATGGAGAAGAGAGGGAGGGAAAGAAAATCACTTCATCTTTTAAACTGTTAGTGCAATGCTCTGCTGCCACCCAGCAGCAGACAGCAGTACTGCAGCGAGAAGAAATCTAGCACAACCGATCATTACTTAAACTTTGAAAATGTGTTAATTGTTTTGACTATTCACACATTTGAGAAATAGCTTCACTTTTAGGATTTTTTTAATACACTAAGAAGGGTGACTTTAAGGATTACTGAGGTGTCAGGGAAGTCATTTCATGTGTTTTTGATATTAAAACAAGTGCAGGAGTTTCTGATGTTGAGATTATTGTGAAAAGGGGAATTCAAATTCAAAACATACTCATATATTTACCCTTAAATTAAGCAAATGTCTGATAAAATGTCGAACCAGTCGAACAAGAACCTAAATGACTTTCCTGCAGAACAAAACACTTCCTAAAGTCACATTTGATTTGAAACAGCGTCTGGTCCTGATGTGTTCACCAGTCCTGACTGGACTTCTGTTTGATGAACTTCAGGGACACGTAGTAGAGCGCCATGAAGACCAGGCAGACGGCCAGCAGCACCAGGTAGCAGGCGTACAGAGGGTACTGGTTCATGTGCATGGCCTCCACCACCTGGCACACAGAGACACAGATGAGAAGACTGTCCATGTGCAGTGCTTTGGTTTTATAGCTGTGTTCATTACACATGTACAGTTATTGCCTAATATATATATTTATAACGACAGATAAAACACAACTTTCTTGTGACTTGTTATGCCTTACATTGACATTTCTATGACATTATTTATGGCATACTTTTCATAAAACACTGATATTTTATATTTACATACAATGCTATTACAATTTCTTTTATACACAATACTTTTCTGACTTTTTTGTACTATTAGTGTGTAATTGCATACTATTCTAGAACATACTTTGACCTTTTTATGACTTTAAATACTATTGATATTATTATGACATTGTTATGACATATTTAGTGTGTGTGCACGTGTGCGCGTGCGTGCGTGTTTCTGACTCACGTGTATGCCGTCCACATTGAAGGTGAAGTTCCTGATGGAGACGGGGTACATGTTGCCTCTGAACTGAACCTGCAGCAGCCCGTCGAACCCCCAACGCATGAAGGAGGTGTGGGAGACCCACGAGGCCACTGGGGGGGGGGGAGGTATTTATTTCATCATTTCTGTTTTCAAAGCAGCTCTTTATACTCAAACATTTCAAACTAGGAATAGTAATCTTTCATTTCATTATCTACTGTATTTATATATCATATATATATTTAACATTTCAACTTCTTTCTAATATTCATTGTACTTTGTTTTTAATATTACTAATATATATTACCTTTTATTTGTATTCTCTTAATTCATAATAATAATAATAATATTACATATCTTATATATAATATAGTAAAAATATAATATTCGTTTTTTACTTAATATTATGTATATTTAATTTTTTAATTTAACTAATCCTCTCTATCCGCATATAAAAGAGGGCATTCATCTGTTTGTACTATCTATGTTATCTTGTGTCCATTAACATGTCTGGAAATGGTTAATGAAAACCTAATAAACTGAGCTTGCTTACGTGTATGACCTGGAAATGAAGCTTTAAAAAATGTAAACCGAAAAACTAAGGGGCAGTGACTCCATCTCCTCCACCGCCACATGTTCTCCATCTGATGACGAAGCCTCCGGTCCAGGTAGCAGATGGTGAGAAGGAGGTTCCCCCGCGAGGAGGAAGGTCTGCAGGGTGGGCAGCGCGGCGGCCACGAACCAGAGCCATGGGGCCGCCGCTTGCAGTACACCATCAGCCAGCCCGCAAGGAGTTGAGGCAGGAAGGCGCTCCGGCCTCCGTGTTCAGCCCGGCTCAGCCAATAAATGGGCAGGCCGTACACAAAAGCGTGAACACACAAGTGCTCTCGGCACGGCTCCCAGCAAACTGAGGGACACACACACACACACGACCACACACACACACACACACAGCACACACAACACACAACACACACACACACACACACACACACACACACACAGCACACACACAGCACCCACATACATGTCACGCACCGAACATGACAGAGCCCGTACACACTCCCTCAGACACTCACACACACACCACACACACACACACCTCTGTTCAGATATACAGTTAAGACATCAAACACACTCAATTGTCAGCACCGAAACCTGGGGGGACAG